GGAATTTATCCATTTATTCTAGGTTCTCTTGTTTTGTGGCATACAGACTCTCAAAATAGTCTCTGATGACCTTTTGAATTTCAATGGTCTAAATGCACCAATCAAGAGACACAGAGTGGCAAAATGGATCCAGAAACTGAAACCAACATTCTGCTGTCTACAAGAAACTCATCTGTACAGTCAGAGCAAACACAGACTCAAAGTTAAAAGGATGGAAAACAATCCTGCAAACAAACAGCTTCCTCAAAAAGGCTTGGGTGGCCATACTAGTATCCAACAACATAGATTTCAGGTTGAAAAAGATTAGAAGGGACAGCAAAGGCCATTTTCTATTTATCAAGGGATATGTACAACAGGAAGAAATCACACTCTTAAATGTATACGCATCTAATGAGGGACCAGCTAAATACTTAAAACAACTGCTAACAGATTTTAAGGAGGACATTGCTAGCAACACAATAGAAGTTGGAGACTTCAACATCGCCTTATAACCTCTGGATAGATCAACAAGAACAAAACTCAGCAAGGAAACATTGGCTTTGAAGCAAGAAATAGAAGAGAGAGGGCTAATAGACCTATACAGGGATTTATATTGACATTGAGAGAGATTATTGTCATGGGGTTTTGTGCCATCTTTCTGTAGGGATTGGTTGTGCTTATAAGTGTTTTCCTTCTTATCTTACAGGACCCCTTTTAATCCTTTTTTTAGGTTTGGTTTTGAGTCTATGAAGTTCCTGAGCTGTTGTTTATAAAATGGTGTATCATTTCATCGAGTTTGAGTGAGAGTTTAGCAGGATAATGTATTCTTGGTGAGGCATTCATTTCATTGAGTTTTTTCACTGTATCCCACCATTGTCTTCAGGCTTGGAGGGTTTCCTCATAGGTCTTCTGTAAATCTAAGGTGTGCTCCTTTGTATGTGATTTACTCTTTGATCTTGCTGCTTGCAGTATTGTGTCTCTATCCATGGCATCCATCATTCTGACGATGATATGTCTTGGAGTGTTTTTATTAGGGTCTTTTTTAGCTGGCACCCTTCTGGCTCCTTGGATCTGGATGTCTTCATTCTTTAACTCTGGGAACTTTTCAGCAATGATTTCTTTCACTGTGGCCTTTTCATTGGGGTTGCTTCTCTGTCCTTCTGGTACTCCGATGATTCTAATGTCTCTTGGTGTCATCCCCTAGGTCTCTGATTCACTTTAGAGCCGTTTTGACGTCTTTTCCCATTGTTTGTTGTTCCCTATGCAATTCCTGTTGCTCATCTTCAAGCTCACTGATCCTGTCTTCAGCTGTAGTCATTCTACTGCTGAGGGCACCCAGTGAGTTTTTAATTTCATCTCCGGAATCCTTTATTTGTGACATTTCTTTTTGTAGTTTTCTTATTTCTGCTCTCATTTCTTCCTGTGTTTTCTTGGTTTCTTTCATTTCTTCCTTTAATTTTCTGGATGTCTGCTCCATTGATTCTTTGAATTCCTTGAACATTCCTCAGCATTTCATCACAGAATTCTTTATCAGAGAGCTCATATTTGTGGGTAGCCCCTGTTGAGGATTCGGGACTCTTTTCTTCGTCCTCTCCTCGTAGTGGAGATTTATGCTGTTTCTTCGTGCTGTTGTGGTTGTATAGAGGTAAAACCTTGAAGTTCACTAGCACTGCTCCCTCTTATTGTGGGAAAGGATTCTGAATAAGTTCGGTCTATAGTGGTCACCCTTCTCCCCTTCTAGAACATGTCCTTCCTCTCAGACATTATTCTGTGGTTTATGATAGGCATTGAGTGAAGCATTGGAGGAGGTGCTCTTTTATATTGGGCTTATTCAGCTTCTGGGGTACAGTGGACTTTTGTTGGAATGGGAGTAGGCCGGTGCATTATTGTCCTATTGTGTTTGAGGCAGCCAGGACATTTTCCACAGAATTAGGTGATGGAGGTTGGGATGTGAGTCAAGATTGCTAGGAGTGGGAACTATAACTGCGGCCACGTGAGCAGCTGCCCAACATACAGAAGGCCACGCCCACTTTGAGGAGACCACGCCCCCAGGCAGTCTGGATGCTAGTCCACAGACCTGTTCCGGACGACTAGTTGGGCTGGTGCTTGCTGAGGAAGTGGAGGCAGGTGCCCCAGGCCAGGGTCCCTGTGGCTGGCGTTCAGGGTCACAGCTCTGGGTGGGAAGGGGGTGCCGAAGTAGGTACAGACCTGTTGGTGGGCAGCGACTAGTTGAGTTTCCTAGTTTTTTTTAACTTTTAAAAAATCGATTGAGGTTTTGTCATTTACAATATTGTTAGTGCTGGTTTCCCATGTACATAATTCCAATACCACACTCATCATCAGTGTACCCACCTCTCTCCCCAGTGCCTTCAATGCCATTCCTTTTCAACAACTCCCTCCCATAAACTCAGTTGTGTGAATCAGTTCTCTCATTGTGTTGCCTTTGGCCCTTTGTTGCTACCTTGCTTTGTATCTTTAAGTCCCACATAGGAGAAAGATCATTCTGTATCTATCCCTTTCCTTCTAGCAGATTTCACTTAGATAACCTCTAGTTCCATCCATGTTGTGGCAATTGCATGATTTTGTTCTTTCTTAGAGGTACATATTATTCCATTGTGGTGTGTATAACAAATTTTGATCCATTTATTTATAGATGGACATTTGGACATTTGTGTTGTTTCCATATCTTGGCTGTTGTTCTAACCATGGTGATGAACATAGGTGTGCATATATCCTTTCAAATTAATGTTTTGGTGTTTTGGGAAATCACCTCCCAGTTTTATAACATTTATGGTACTTAAAATTTTATCTTTGATCCTTCCCTCTCTATTACTAGCTTGATTTCTAGTATTATTTGCTTGATTTGGGCTGGAGCAATAGCACAGCAAGTAGGGCGTTTGCCTTGCATGCACCCAACCTGGGTTCGATTCTTCCGTCCCTCTCGGAGACCCCGGTAAGCTACCGAGAGTATCCTGCCCGCACGGCAGAGCCTGGCAAGCTCCCTGTGGTGTATTCGATATGCCCAAAATAGTAACAACAAGTCTCATAATGGAGATGATACTGGTGCCTGCTCTAGCAAATCGATGAACAGTGGGACGACAGTGCTACAGTGATAGTGATTTGCTTGATTTCCTTTATATTTATACTTAGATCACACATATGCATGCTCCTTAAAGTGTGTTTTATGTGTGTGATCTTTTGTACTTTTTTTACCCAGAAGTATAAGGTAAAGGTAAAGGTAAAGGCCCTCCCGTTGATCGTCGATTTGCTTGAGCGGGCCCAGTAACGTCTCCATTGGAGACTTTGTTGTTACTGTGTCTGGCATATTGAATACGTCACGGGGAGCTTGCCAGGCTCTGCCGTGCGGACGAGATATTCTCGGTAGCTTGCCGGGCTCTCCGAAAGGGGCAGAGAAATCGAACTCGGGTCGGCCATGTTGGCTGCGTGCAAGGCAAATGCCCTACCGCTGTGCTATCGCTCCAGCAGTATATTGTTATGATATAGCTATGTTATGCTTAGCTGAGGTTCATTTATTATGTTACTGTTACAGAATGTTTTTGGTTTTTGTTTTTTTGAAGACCAGTGTTTGGGTCTGATAATTTGCTTCTTGGCCTCTGTGGTGTTAGGGACCTGTAGGTCTATAACAGCTGTGCTTAGGGACCTTCAGGCATGATGTTCTGGAGGCCATGTGGTGCTGGAGATCAAACCCGGGTCACCTTTCATGTGTTCTAGCCACAGTACTATCTCCTTAACCCTGTACTATTCTGTTTTATAACTAAAGCACAACTTATTTTGTAAATTTCTCTGTTGCCAGCATTTGAGTTTGTTTCACGTTTTATATATGACAGATACTGATGTCATGGACAGTCTTATACAGTATCCTACTTGCTGTCCCTTCCTCTATGATCAAGTTTAGTTCATTTTCCCTTCACATATTTACATTAAGAATGGAATTTTCTGCTGGATTTTTCTAACTTCAAAAGGATTTATACAAAATTTCATTTAAAAAAGTTTGCAGAATGGTTAATTCAACTTACTGTAAAATCTAGGAAGCCATAATAATTTTGTTCCTTTGAACATTTATACTGTCTTTCCTCTTATAACTATTGTTAACAAAACTAGCAAAGAATTAGGGCTGGAGAGATAATACAGTGAGTAGGGTGCTTGCCTTGCCTAGGTTCTATATCTGGAACCATATGTGGTCCCTTGAGCACTGCCAGGAGTGATCCCTGAGCATAGAGCCAGGAATACACTCTGAGTCTTTCTGGGTGTGGCCAAAAAATGGGGAATGGGGGGAATCGGAGGAAGAATATGGATATTCAGTGGTAATGTAAAATAAGTGACTGATATATATTTGGTTAGATGTGGCTGAAATGGTTCCATGACCTATTTAAAGTTGAGATAAACCTGTTTAATAAAGTCTCACTGAAGCCTAGAATTCTGTGTATTTTTTTCATATTGTCATCATTTAATACCTGGAAAATCTACCAATCCTATAGAATGTGAGAAACTAGATATGAAGATCAGCAAAATCTATTTTATCCAGGCAAGTAGCTTACCCTTCAACCAGTTTGACAAGGATATTGATGACACTTTTAACCTATTTATATCAAAAAGAAGCTTCCATTTATTTAATTCCTATTTATTGTGCGTCCAGTGTAATAATCCATAAAAGTGTAATAATCCATAAAAGTCACCTATTTTTATGTAGAAGGATTGATAGTTTTAGAAGTGTCAAAGTGCATGCTAAAGCAGTTTGAACTTGTAAATCTGAAAACTGAAAAACCCAAAACACAAACAAACCAAAAAATCCCTAAATCTTGCAAAAGATCAGAAAGATTAGTGATCCCTGAGAAGTTAGTTGACATTCAGATATCAAAGCAGCAATGAATACAAATCGAAATGCTGTTTTCTTTCTTGTAGTTTTCATATTTCTATTTGAACACAAATTTCTTGAAAATCAGGATTATATATCCATGCTTTATGATGACTTTCTGTTTCAAAGATGTGATGACTTATCTTTATAGGTCTGCAGTAAGATCACTCAAGTTGCAATTTTCAATGTGTAGTTGGGATTATATCCCAGGATAAACTTTCTGCAAGGGCAACAGGGTTCCCAATTTCTCTCCTTTCTTGATAGAAACTTTATATTTAATTGGCTTAATGTAGAACATTTTAATACAGAAACCTGATGAAAGGAAGAAATTTAAATTCTTCATTATCTGGGTTTTACTAGTCTTGAATGAGAATATCAAAAATAAGAACAAGGGCCAGAGCAATAATACAGCAGGAAGGGTGCTTGACTTGCTTGTGGCTTACCCAGGTTCCATCCCAGCAGCACATATGGTTCCCCTGAGCACTGCCAGGATTGATCCAGAGCACAGAATCAGAAGCAAGCCTTGAGAATTGATGAGTATAGACAACAAAACAAAACAAACAAAAAATAACAACAGAACTGGATAGACAAAGGTTGGCTGACTTCAATAAGGGAATATAAACAAATGATAAAAATTATGTCATGCCCGGCTCAGCTATATAGTTGGAGGCATGGCCTCTCTGGTTCCTGATTGAACTGCTTAATAGCCATGATCCCAGAGACTCAGAAACAAATCTCGAAACCCAGCGGCTTTTGGTAGAAATGCGTCTGGTCCCTGCAGTAGGTTAACAGTGCTGGGCCAACCCAGGTGGGAGTAGGTTTCGTGCCTTGGCCTGTTTCTCCCAGTGGCCCAATGGCCGCCATCCTTCAGAGGCCACTGGACGGTCAGGTTTGGGGCCCCATTGACGAGACACGCAGGGCCTTGCGGGATGGCGGGGGGGGGGGGGGGAGGCGGGCCTGTCCTCCCGACCCCAACGAGATCCCAAGTCATCGTCCACGAACAGCCTCTCTGGCTCCTGATCAAGCTGCTTAATGGCCATGATCCCAGAGACTCAGAAACAAACCTCGAAACCCAGTGGCTTTTGGCAGAAGTGTGTCCGGACCCCACAGTACATTATTGTCGCCAGGGCCACCACAGGGAGGAAAGGGTGTTGTCACTCCACCTGCTCCCTCTTGGCGGCTCGGTGGCCGTCATCCTCCAGAGGCCACTGGACAGTCAGGCTTGGACCCGCAGTGATGAAACTTGTTGGGTCTCACGGGATTGGGGGGGGGGAGCCAGGCCTGTCCTCCCCACCCCAACGAGCCCCCAAGTCATCGCCCAGGAACGGCCTCTCTGGCTCCTGATCAAGCTGCTTAACGGCCATGATCCCAGAGACTCAGAAACAAATCTCGAAACCCAGCAGCTTTTGACAGAAATGCGTCCGGACCATGCAGTAGGTCACTGTTGCCGGGACACCCCAGGGGGGAAAGGGTGTTGTCCCTCTGCCTGCTCCCCCTTGGTGGCTCGATGGCCATTATCTTCCAGAGGCCATTTGTCAGTCAGGTCTGGGCCCACAGTAACGAAACTTGTTGGGCCTCACAGGATGGGGGTGGAGCTGAGCCTGTCCTCCCATCCCAACGAGACCCCAAGTCATTGCCCACCAACGGCTTCTCTGGCTCCTGATCAAGCTGCTCAATGACCATGACCCCAGAGACTCAGGAGCAATCTTGAAACCCAGTAGCTTTTGGCAGAAATCCCTCCAGATTTAAGTGTTAAAATTTCAGAATTTCAAAATCACATGGCCCTACTGCAGCCTCACAACATCATATGTTATTCATAACCAGCAATAGAACACAAATTGTCTACTGTTGCCTTTTCAGTAGATCTGAGTGTTGGGGTAAAATAATAATGGTGGGTCTGGTGTCAAAATATTGAATGTGATCAAAGTAGAGAGAGAGTAATGTGGAAATCATCTACCCTACAGGTAGGGGGAGGGTTTGGGTGGTGGAGAATGGGCACTGGTGAAGGTACGGGTGTTTCATTGTATGACTGAGACTTAGATCCGAAAGCTTTGTAACTGCTCTCATGGTGATTCAATAAATAAAATTATAAATTTTTTTTTTTAAATTATGTCATCCCAGTTAAAGAAACTTTGGTACATTTACACAATGGAGTACTATGTAGCTGTTAGAAAAGATGAAGTCATGAAATTTACATACAAGTGGTACTACTTGGAAAGTATCATGTTAAGCGAAATGAGTCAGAAAGAGAGGGATAGACATAGAAAGATTGCATTCATCTGGGGAACATAAAGTAACAAAATAGGAGACTAACACCCAAGAATGGCTGAGATTAGTACCAGAAATTTTGCTCCATGGCTTAGAGGCCAGCCACACATGCTAGGGAAAAAGGAAGCTCAGATAGAGAATCACAATCACAAATCACAAATCATCCTGTTAATCGTCGATTGCCTCGAGCAGGCCCCAGTAATGTCTCCTTCATCCTAGCCCTGAGATTATATTCAAGGCTCTTTAGGAGAATGAGACCCATCATTGTTACTGGTATTTGGCATATTGGGTATGACACAGGGAGTTTGCCAGACTCTGCCGTGTGGGCAGGCTACATTTGGTAGCCTGCCAGTTTGTCCAAAGTAGGAATGAGATAATAAGATGTCATAATAGGAAGTCTCAACCCGCTCCCCTCCAAGGGGCCCCAGCGGTGAGGACAGTCAGGCGCGGGGGCAGGAGACTGCACTGTTCTTCTTCCGGGAGCTGGTTTTTATAGTCTCTGAGTCTTGGCCGTTGATGTGATTACACGGCGCCAGGGGGCCAGTTGGTGGGTGTGACCCCCGCCTACTGGAATTTGTAGGATCTGGGTGGAGGATGCTCGGCCCAAATCCGAGTAGGCTTGGGGATCTCGGCCCCAGAACCCGCGTGACTTTGTCCCTCTGCCAGTACCTTCATGTGTGCGGAGAGTGGTCTCAGCATGGTGGTGGCTGGTCCTGGAGGTCTTTGACTGCTGGAGCCCTGGTCAGGGCAGGGAGGAAAGCTCAACCCGCTCCCCTCCAAGGGGTCCCAGCGGCGAGGACGGTCAGGCGCGGGGGCAGGAGACTCAGATAGAGAAGGGAGCACCAAATCAAGGGTGTTGGGAGGATCCTCCCAGGATGGAGAAGCATGCTGAAAGTAGACTCTAGACCAAACATGATTGCCACTCAATGCCTCTTTTGCAAACCACAACACCCAAAAGGAGAGAGAGGACAAGGGGGAGTGCCCTGCCACAGAGGCAGGGTGGGATGGGGGGGTTGAGGGGTGGGAGGGATACTGGGATCCGTGGTGGTGGGAAATGGGCACTGGTGGAGGGATGGGTGTTTGATCATTGCATAATTGAAACCCAAGCACAAATTTGTAAGTCTACAACTGTACCTCATGGTGCCTCAGTAATAAAAATTAAGAAATTTTAAAAAATTATATCATCAATGAAGATTAAACTGACAAGATATCCAATGGAGAATTTAATAAATACCTTGAAAAATAGCAAAATAAAGCAGCAAAATTGTTGATAAAAATTGCACCAGAAAAAAAATCAATGTCAAGATACATAAAATAATCTGCTTTCAATAGTAATGGGCATGGGGAGATAGTTCACGGGGCTAGAGTGCATGCCTGTATGCAGGAACCCTAGTTGATGACACTGCTTGTTCTCCAGAATATCATCAACAGATACCCCAAAGTGCCACATGTGGCCCAAAGACAAAAACATGAAAAATGGATGTAACTTGAACAGGAATACAAATCTTCCTATTATAAAAAAAATCTTTTTTTCCCTTCTTTTTTTCATGTATTTCACTAGAGAAATAGAGTTAAAGTAATACCCATCTTTTTAGCAAAATCTGACAGAAATGTTAAGGGATAAAAATTCAAAACTAAAATGTGTTAAAGGAAAATTATACTAAATTGTATTGCATTTAAAATCATATTAGTTTTATTTAGTGGAAACTGTAAAGAAAGTAAAAAGGCAAGCCACAAAGTGGGAAAAAATATTTACAATAAATTTTACCAACTTATACACTGAATATAGAAAAAAATCTGTTGCAAACTAATAAGAGAAAGGCAGAAAGGGGCAAATACTTGCTAGGCACTTCACAAAAGAAACTAGGCAGAAAGGGGCAAATACTTGCTGGGCACTTCACAAAAGAAACTATCTATGTTATCATCAAATATGAAAAGGTTCCCAATTGCGCAATTCAGAAAAGCACACATTAATTTAAAGACACAATCACTACACACTCATCAAAATGACTGAAAGGTAGTAACACCAAATTACGTATATGGGGCAGATGGAACTTGCATAGGCTCTGAGTAGGAGTATAAGTTTTCCCTGTTTCTTTGTGAAACTGTGTGGCAGTAGCTACTAAGGACAAGATACACATAAACAAAGTTACCTATCAAGTCCACTCCTACAATATCACTCCTGGCCACTGTTGATCACTATGCTTGAAGTCCCTTGTCTCATTGGTGAACCACAGTAACCTTTGGGGACTCTAGGAGTTAGTGTCAGTTTTAAAAGAGTATCTAATAACCTCTGAGAAGCCTAATTATTTCTCCCCTAGGTGCAGTCATCCTACAGTTAAATGACTGCAGATCCCCTTGCGGATGGCTCAAAGTCAGGTTTATTGTATAAATTATTGGCTTTGTGGCAGAGCTTTTTCTTAAAGAGACTCAGCTTCACAATCCTCCAAGGGGCCCTGGGGTTATAAACTGGCCGGAATTGGTTGGAATTAGGGACAGGAAAATGTGATATGTTATTATGATTACTGAAGTTACTGGGCTGGAGCAATAGCACAGCGGTAGGGTGTTTGCCTTGCAAGCGCCAACATGGCGGACCTGAGTTCGATTCTTCCGCCCCTGTCAGAGAGCCTGGAGATGTTACTGGGACCGCTTGAGCAAATCAATGAACAACGGGAGGACAGTGACAGTGACTGAAGTTAGTATTTTGTCCATCGGTTCTGAGCAATTCCATTCATACTCAAAGCTATAGTAGACTGCTGTTCTAGAGTCAATATAATTAACTGTCACTCCAAACAACGCACTCTGGTTCAACTAAATCTGATTACTGCTTTAGCTCTGCTGTCTCTTAGGCAACCATGCCAACTTTGACCCTGACCATTAAGTTGGGCCCATCCACAATGGCAGCAGTTTCTATTTTTTTTTCTTTTTGGATCACACCTGGTGATGTACAGGGGTTACTCCTGACTCATGCACTTAGGAATTACTCCTGGCGTTGCTCAGGGGACCATATGGGATGCTGGGAATCAAGCCCCGGTTGGCGGCATGCAAGGCAAACACCTTACCCACTGTGCTGTCACTCTAGCCCCGCAGTTTCTATTTTTTTTTCAGGCCTGCAGAGGATAATCATAACTCCTCAATGACACAGACTCCAAAGTACTTCACCAGAGTATTTCTCACAGTTTGGGCAAGATGGGTAAATGTTGGACCTCTGCCCAACAGCAATGCATTTAAAAGAGATATACAAAAAATGTATTGCAGTGTTTTCATAATTATCTACAGATGGGCACTGTCCAAATGTTTCTGAATGACCAACTTAGTGCTATTAGATCCCTATAAAGAAATATTAAATATCAGTAAGAATGAAGGAGCTAAAAGTATGTACAAAACCATGAGGAAATCTCACAAACACATAGCCTAAAAGAATTCCCACAAGAGAAGTCTGCCTGCTGGTCAAAACTATTTATCTTTTTTAAGAAACAGTCAAAACTAATGTATATGGTTGAGAAGGTGCATAATGATTATCCTTGCTGGGAATGATGATTAAAAGGTAGTTGATGGTGTCTTTGGGATGCTGCTGGTTCTCACTGGGGGGAGCAGGGGCTGAGTGTTTTAGATAGATTTAATTCACACTGAAAATTCATGGAGCAATGTATTCATCCTATGTACACTTGGCTGTATGTGTTAAATAAACCTCATAGAACTGAAACAACCAAACAACAAGCCCAATTCCAGAGTACTAGGAGATCCAACTTAACATAGAACATTGAGGCCTTTGAAAACATTCCACAGTCAACTCTTGAAGAAATGCCAACATTTTCAAATTGTGGGATTTGGGTAAATGGAAGTAACTATTCAATTATAGTTAATATTGCTTAAAGCGGTTTTGTTTGTAGATTGTTAAACAAAACCACATGGGCCGCAGGAGAAAAGCCCCATGTAGTGTTTGGTGGAGCGTGTGCATAAAGATTTCAGGGAAAGTAGTGGAACACCTTTGAAAATCAGTTGGCTAGTTTGGGTTGGTACCCTTTCTTTGTATCCTATTATAGATTTTATCATATTAAAGCAAGTATGAAATGTCTCTCTATTGGACATGCATTAAATAAATAAGCATCAAGCATCTCCATTATGCTTTCCAGACACAGACACTACGTCTTACCTCTTCAAGTTATCCGAACTCCATTGTTGATAGCATTTTTGTGTTTATAAGGTTTCTCCTGGCCCACAATCTTCCCAGTAAAAGGTGCATACACATCAGATCCATCAGAGCACAAGATCTCCTCACCCTATTGAGGGCTGTGATTTCTAGGAGGTAAATAAGAACAGGCTAAGAAACTGCCCTGGGTATTTTATTGCCCAGGAATGTGGTATTAGCACATTGTTCCCAGACTGGAATAGTATAAATGGAAGCTGCCAGAACATGTTAGAATTTCCAGAACATGTTGATGTTTTCTCATTCTGCTTAGCCCAATTTTAACTTCCTTCCCTGCAGGTAATAATAACTATTATGTGAAGATTAAAGCATTTATAATAGTACTGGTACATTAAAAGCTTTTAAAAGTAGTAACTAGTATTGTGTGGCACTTTTGGGAAATGAGAAATCCATGTGGATACATTTTTATCCCTTCAAGACCTCTTAGGAAGTAGTCTTTTTATGGGAACCTATCCTACAAGGGGCTGGAGCGATAGCACAACAGGTAGGACATTTGCTTTGCATGCGGCTGACCTGGCCGACCCAGGTTTAATTCCTCTGCCCCTCTCGGAGAGCCCAGCAAGCTACCAAGAGTATCTTGCCTGCACAGTAAAGCCTGGCAAGCTACTCATGATATATTTGATATGCCAAACACAGTAACAACAAGTCTCACAATGGAGACGTTACTGGGGCCACTTGAGCAAATTGATGAACGAGAGGAAGTGCTACAGTGCTACAATCCTACAAGAATCACCTGTTACACTCGTCTTATTGTCTCTCAAAATACAGAGATCATATAACTTATTCACCATATATAGTAGTTTGAGGGGTGAAGGCTCGGGCCACACTGAGTGGTGCTAAGGAGCACTCCTGGCAGTGCTCAGGGATGGAACTGCATGCAAGGCAGGTGCATGCAAGGCAGCCCTTGTATTGTCTCCAGCCCATATACAGTATTTTAAAATAGCGAGTGATACCTCCTGGTTTATTAAGATGTAAAGAACATAAACACAAAATGATTTCATACTATGAGACTTCTTGATTTTGTTTCTTAGGATGTTCACTGTTGTCACTGTGCCTGCTCTTAGAAGTCTGTAGTCTTCCTTCTAAAAAACCTGAAAAACCTAAAAAACCTAACTGAAAACTTAGAATCTCCAGAGTTGTTAGAATTGTGATTAGAATAATAGTGAGTATATTCCAAGTGAAACACCAGTAAGTTATTATATAAGGAGCTGAAGAGATAGCTCAGGAATCAAGACTTTTTACATGGAGTCTACCCCAGTTTGTCCCTTGAATATTACCAGGTGTAACCCTGGAGCCCCCGAGCATTGACAAGGTGACCCCAGGGAATTTCAGGCACTGAGAGGCACCTTATTCTCATGCCCACGCATTTGAATTGCCACCCCAGATGGCTGAGAATCACTGAATGAATGAGCACTGTTTGGGAGGATTCCCCCCCCCCCCAATTATAATATGTCAACTGCATATGCTCTAGGCTGTGAACTCATTGAATACTGTGAAAATTAAGAGAGCTTTTTTTTTCTTATTTCCTGTACCTTAACCTGATTCCAGGTTCCTTATTGAGGTTCTTTGTAAGGAGTCTCTGTAAATGGGAATTCCATGATAATTAGAATTATATGATACAGTTAGATATAAGTTTGTAAGGGCTAGTTTTTTTTTATATCACGGGGTTGTAATTTCATGGTGGTATTCTACATTATTGAAAAGTCACAAGTATGACAAGAAGAAAGTATTTGGAAGACTTGAGCAGTCTCCCAAGAATCAGATTAGTAACATCAAAGCTATAACCCCAAATCAAACCCAAGTCTTGCCTTCACCAGATGTCTGGCAAATCCACTCAGCATCATGTCCTTCATCAATAAAATGGGATGATAATGCTTGATTTTCACATTGGACAACCAAGTAAGATAAAGTATAAAAATGTCTGGAAGGAAAACACAGTAGTTTTGTTCTTCTCTTTTCTTTGTTTCTTGCTTTAATTTTCAGCCTGTGTTTGAAGCTGGGAAGTGAGTCCAAAGACAGTAATGTAACTGTTTCCTCTCTGAGCTTTCCTACTATTAGAGGGAAATGATTGGAGACTCACAGGAAATGTAGGGCAAAGACACTAAGGCAAAAGAGTAAGAGTTTGATGTTACTTGTGCAACTGCTTACCTTTGAGCAGTATACTGACTACATCCATGGCTGTAGCACGTCCTGATCTCATTTGAAGGCTTACCAGCACACATTTTAGCCCATGGTCCTGCCAGTGCTGAAAAGAAGAAACAAGAGGCAGATTTCCTGAGCTTTGATACCCATTTTTCACACAGAATCCCAATGGCACGGTTGGCACGGTCCTCCTGTTGTTCATCGATTTGCTCGAGCGGGCCCAGTAACGTCTCCTTCGTGAGATTTGTTGTCACTGTGTTTGGCATATTCAATATCCCAATGGATTCAGAAAATTTTATTTTCACTATTTAGATAATTCTGAATATCCCCTTAACTTTCTGATGTTTGTATAAAACTCTCAAATTTGGATATAAATTTACCTTTTTCCTCAGTCACAATATCTTGTCTTAGGACATACAGAATATTTGTAAATATGCTTATTTATAAGTACTAACTTCTGTCATTGTAGTTTATTGTAGATTTCCCCTAATTAATGGCATAAGTTTTACTTTTCAGATTTGCTTATTACTTTTCGTGGGAACCACTATGTTTAGGTTAAGCAAAATAATCAAACAACATGAATTACAAAAATAATTCTAGAAATTGTAAACTGACTTTGAAATGTTCCTTGAGTTGTTGGTCTCAGTAATCAAATCCAAGAACATGTTTGAATTAGAGAAAGAAACAAACTCTGAGCTAGCAAAGTTTATTTTATGCCAAATGAAATCTCTTTCAAATTTGCAAACATGCTTGGAAATAGACATGTCAAACCAACTCAGCCTTGAATGAAGTCAGAAGGCAAGGTGGGGAAGAGAGTAGGAACAATGATAGGAAAAATTATGAAACTGTAAAACATGGACTAAAGGGGCATGACATCCTGTGTTTTGTATAAATTTATCTTAAGCAGGTTATTTCTTTAAAACAGTAAGCACTTGATTAATGTTTAATTTGTTTGGATTCCCAGGACTTTTGTTGTTAATATTTATAAAGAGATGTGGTTAGCACACTCATCCTTTCTCCTCAAAACAGACAAAAACAAAAGTAAAACCAACAACCTGTTTATTTGGTTGTGATTTTACTTAAAGAAATTTTGCTAAAGAGTGATATATGTTCTATGAAGAGAAGCCACAGGATATGATCACTAAGAATATTCTTAATGCCGACTGGTCCAACCCTTTTGGAAAACAGTATGGGCAATTCTCAAAAAATTAGAATTTGTTCTCCCATTTGACCCAGCAATACCACTCCTGTGAATATATCCCAGAGAGACAAAGAAGTATAGTCGAAGTGACATCTACACTTGTTTGTTCATTGCAGCACTCTTTACATCAGCCAGAATCTGGAAAAAACCTGAGTGCCCGAGAACAGATGACTGGTTAAAGAAACTTTGGTACATCTACATAATGGAGTACTATGTAGCTGTTAGAAAAGATGAAGTCATGAAATTCACATACAAGTGATACTACATGGAAAGTATCATGTTAATCGAAATGAGTCAGAAAGAGTGGGATAGACACAGAAAGATTGCATTCATCTGGGGAACATAAAGCAACAAAATGGGAGACTAACACCCAGGAGTGGCCGAGATTAGTACCAGGAATTTTGCTCCATGACTTGGAGGCCAGTCACATGTGCTAGAGGAAAAGGAAGCTCAGATAGAGAAGGGAGCACCAAATAAAGGGTGTTGGGAGATCCTCCCAGGGTGGGAGAAGCATGCTGAAAGTAGACTATAGACCAAACATGATTGCCCCTCAATGCCTCTCTTGCAAACCACAGGACCCAAAAGGAGAGAGAGAGAGAGAGAGAGAGAGAGAGAGAGAGAGAGAGAAAGAGATAGCAAAAGGGAATGCCCTGCCACAGAGGCAGGGTGGGATAGGGGTAATGGGGGGTAGGAGGGATGATGGGACCCATGGTGGTGGAGGATGGGCGCTGGTGGAGGGATGGGTACTTGATCATTGTATAACTGAAACCCAAGCACAAAAATTTGTAAGTCTATAACTGTACCTCATGGTGTTTCACTAATAAAAAAATTTTAAAAAGTAATTTTGGAAGATGAGCTTCAAGGTATTTAACTATGAAGCTAAATTTCAGTTCGATACCTTGATCATACCAACAGTATGACAACTGATAGTAATTATTGGGGTTTGAATCAAATATTAGGTAATTTATTATTCTAGTTCTTTCCTGCTGTGATGATTAAGGGAGTATTCTGTATCCATCTCCAAGTCAGGAATTTTCTAAGCCAAATTCTTATACCAACTTTTAATTTTCTTATTCTATCCCAGTTAAGTCCTAGACCGAGTCTAAATAACTTTCCATAAAGTCTATTTTCTTTCATTTCTTATATGCTGTTTCTTCCTCTGAAATAAAATCACCCCCTGACTTCCTTTGAAGAATATTCAAGTTTGAAGTGATATTTTCTACCTATTTAGAAGCTAAAAATCTGTAGAAGTCTGCATCTCTCATTTCTTTAGTGTGATACATACACCACAAAATAGAAGAATTTTAAGTCCATGAATTCTAATTCCATGATGTGAAAACCTGGTTCACTAGTAGGATCTATGTATAAGTTTTTGCTCTGAAGTGGAGCCTCAAACTGATCATTCAGTGTCTTGATGAAGAAGTCTGACCATCTTGTAGGTGGGCAGCCACTTGATCTTTTGACGTCCCGTGGAATCCAGTCGGTAACGGCTCTAGTCCAGCAGTCGTCTCCAAATTGCATTAAGTGTCCAGCCCATCTGATTTTCGACGCCTTGGCAAACAAGACAGCATTCCTGATTCTTGACTGTCTATGGAGGTTGGAACTCCGGATTCTTTCTCTCACTTGAGTGAAGCGTAATACTCCAAGCATAGCTCTTTCGATTATTCTTTGAGAGACCCAAATAGTGTTCTCATTCTGTTTTCGTAGGGCCTAGGTCTCTGAGGCGTATGTTAATGCAGGAAGAACGGTGGAATCAAAGAGATCTGCCTGAAACTGGAGGTTCTTTGTCCTCTTAGCTATTTCTTCAACGCTCTTGAAGGCATTCCAAGCCGCTCTCTTCCTCCTTTGCAACTCAGGTTCTGGGTCATTCATGATGTTGACTTCTCGACCTAGGTACACATAACTATTGCATTCAGAGATGTTTGTTCCATTGAGAGCAAATGGAACGTCAGGAACGAGACTGTTTCTCATAAATATTATCTTCGTGAGATTCAGCTGTAGTCCGACCTTTCCAGACTCACGGTCAAAGTCGGCCAGCATTTGTTCCACTTGGATAATGTTTGGTGTTATTAGAACGGTGTCATCAGCGAAGCGGAGGTGGTGTTGTTGCTGACCATCTATCTTCAATCCCATTCCTTCCCATTCCAGTCATTACGTGATTTTCTCAAGGGTGGCACTGAAAAGTTTGGGTGAAATGGTATCACCCAGCTGAACCTCTCTCTTGACATGGATGATCACTTCCTTGTAGAATGTGAAATCCTGGTAGTGAATCCATAATACAGCTCACGGAGGATCCTGATGTCTTAAGTTTGAACGCCCTGTTTGGCTAGGACTTCGGTGACTGCTTCAGTCTCAACAGAATCAAAGGCCTTCTTTAAATCAATGGATCCATACATCCATCAGAACAGGCAGAGAGGCATCTTGAACTCCCGAGAAACCTCAGTGAGCTTGATTATCGTGTGGGTAAGGTCTATAGTGCTGAACCCTTTTCGGAACCCGGCTTGCTCTCATGGTTGTCCTTCATCTAGTGTTCGCCACTCCTATTCAGGATGACTCGAGTTAACAACTTGTAGACGACAGACAACAGGCAGATTTGGGGATGGTTGCCAATGTCGTGGATGTCACCCTTCTTGTACAGTAGTACAGTCCTGCTGGTTTTCCACTGGGACGGAACCTTGCATTCAGTCAGGTAGCATGTGAAGAGCCGAGCCAGTGTATTGATGAGTACTGATGGCAGGTTCTTCAGATACTCAGGTCTGATCTTGTCTGGGTTGGGTGCTGTTCGCTTCTTTACCTACAAAATGGTGTGTTGGATTTTGGAAGGGAGAACATTGGGAACAACATATCCATCCTGCGGAATTTGGTATGTGGGCAAGTGGAGGTGGCTATCGAAGAGATCCGAGTGGAAGTCATGGATAATCTTCTCCATTGCCCTTGTGGAGGAGGTGATAGATCCATCAGAACATTGGAGGGCAGTCATCTTTGTCTTGTAGTTGGTGAAGGACAGGTGAGCATTGCAAATGCTTTTCCCGGCTTCTGCCGCATCTGCCAGCACTGCTGCTCTTCTCTCTTTGAGGTCTTCTTTTATTGCTTCTCTGCACTGCTTTGTGAGCTCAGACGTTCGCTTGTGGTTGCCTGAGGCTCGCGCCAAGCCATGTTGGCAAATGAGCTCGTGAGTTTTCGAAGACAGGCATCTTTTTGTGGCTATCTCTCTCTCGGTGTTCCTCACACAAACATGGAGATGCTGAACCAGTCATTCGTATTCTTTGTCAATGTTGTCAAGGATGGCATCTTCCCATGTTGCCGCAATAATGCCAAAGAGCTTCCACTTAGTGGTAATTCTGGGAGTTCTCTTCTTAAACTTTGCAGCCCTTTCTCCCCACTTCATGAAGTAGAATTTGTCACGAAGGAGACAGTCCGATCCAGTTTGGAATTTTTGGGACAATAGCAACATCGGTCAGGCAAAACCGTTGATTGAATATGATGTAGTCAATTTCATTGTGGAACCCTCCACTGAGAGACTCCCATGTCCAACGTTTAGATTTGGCCTTCTGGAACTGTGAGTTACCATGGATGGTCTTGGTCGACATGATGAACTCACCCTGTTCGTTTCATTCTAGGCCTCGGGTTCTGATGTGGAGTTCTTCGACTGATCTTCTCAGTCCTATCTTGGTATTAAAATCACCGACAATGATCTTGTAGAAGGTGTAGAACTTTATAGAACTTCTTCAGCTCCATGTAGAATTTCTCGATTTCTTCTCCACCATAATTGGATGTTGGTGCATAGACAACGAAGATAGAAACTGCCTGCAGTGAGCCACATCTATTCCAGTGTAATCGTCCGATTCGGGTTGTTAGGCATTCAAATGAATCAATGCTCATGGCCAAGTTCGTGTTGACAAGGACACCGACACCACCACCACCACCTCTTTTGTCGCATGTTCTGAGGAATAGTTCTTCTCCAGTGTCGAAAATGGCATGATGTGGTTGATGCCTTCTCATCTCAGTCAGACCAATGATATTGTACTTGATCATTCGCCCTTGCACCATCAGGTCCTTGATGGATGCATCTGATGCCAGCATTTGTGCATTGAAAGTACAAACAGTCATTTTTGTCCTTCTTCGTTTTGGCAGCCTAGTTCAACCTTGAGATTTTATCAGCCTCTCCTTCCTCATCCTTTTTAACGCTGCCGTATTGGTGGCTCTTTCAGGATCAGGGGAATGAGACCCATTGTATTTACTGCTTTTGGCATATTGAATATGCCACGGATAGCTTGCCAGGCTCTACCATGTGGGCAGGATACTCTTGGTAGCTTGCCAGGCTCTCCAAGAGGAATAGAGGCAGCCTCTAATCGCCCTTGTAGGTGTTCCCATGGTTCAAACCATATTTGAACTGCATCAAATATGGTGCGGTAATCTTGGAAGATGGTATTAAGTGTCTTATGATGTGTCCGGAATGCGGCCAGGAGCGTGGCAGCAGCTGGGTAGTGGAGGTAGTAGAGGTAGTGGAGGTCTGCCAATGAGGTATTTATCTGGTACCGGTAGGGTGGGGCTTCTGGGTGTGTTCCCTGGTCCCTGGAAGTTGATAGAAGCAGGCAGGGCAGGGTAGGGTGGGGCTTCTGGGTTTAATCCCTGGGTAACTGGAGATTGGTGGGAATAGGCAGAGAATCTCTGTTTCCAGGCCCTGTTGAGCTTGGAGTCCAAGGTCACAGAGTTCCGCTTACCTGGTTCTGTGGGGCTTCACTCATGCATGAATATCCACTCCACTTGAATATGACTTTTAAAAAATCACGATCATGATCACGACCATCTTGTTGTTTGTCGATTGCCTTGAGCAGGCCCCAGTAACGTCTCCTTCATCCTAGCCCTGAGATTTTTTAAAAGTGCCATATTCAAGGCTCTTTCAGGGTTAGGAGAATGAGACCCATCATTGTTACTGGTATTTGGCATATTGGGTACACCACGGGGAGTTTGCCAGACTCTGCCGTGTGGGCAGGTTACATTCGGTAGCCTGCCAATTTTTTTTTTTTACATGTAGATATCTATTTTTTTTCCCTTTATTTTATTTTATTTTTTTTAAAGTTTTAGATTTACAATTTTTTGTGCTTTGGTTTCAATTATACAATGATCAGATACCCATCCCTCCACCAGTGCCCATTTTCCACCACCATGGATAATATCCCTCCCACCCCCATCCCCCCATCCCCCCTGTCTCTGTGGCAGGGCAATCCCCTGTGTTCTCTCTCTCCTTTGGGTGTTGTGGTCTGCAAAAGAGGCATTGAGTGGCAAACATGTTCAGTCCATAGTCTACTTTCGACATGCATCTCCCCTCCTGGGAGGATCCTCCAAACATCCTTTATTTGGTGCTCCCTTCTCTATCTGAACAGCCCTTTCCTCTAGGATACCCGGCTGGCCTCTAAGTTATGGAGTAATCCTCCTGGTGCTGATCTCAGCTATTCTTGGGTATTAATCTCATACTTTGTTACTTTATATCCCCCAGATGAATGCAATCTTTCTATGTCTATCCCTCTCTTTCTGACTCATTTCGCTTAGCATGATACTTTCCATATTGTACCACTTGTATGTAAATTTCATGACTTCATCTTTTCTAAGAGCTACATAGTACTCCATTGTGTAGATGTACCAAAGTTTCTTTAACCAGTCATCTGTTCTTGGGCATTCAGGTTTCTTCCAGTTTCTGGCTATTGTAAAGAGTGCTGCAATGAACAAACAAGTGCAGATGTCACTTCGACTATACATTTTTGCCTCTCTGGGATATATTCCCAGGAGTGGTATTGCTGGGTCAAATGGGAGCTCAATTTCTAATTTTTTGAGAATCGTCCATACTGTTTTCCAGAAGGGGTAGCCTGCCAATTTGTCCAAAGTAGGAATGAGATAATAAGATTGCCACAAATGCGGCCGCGTGCTTCCAGGAGCTGGGTTTTATAGTCTCTGGGTCTTGGACGTTGATGGGATTACACGGTGCCAGGGGGCCAATTGGTGGGTGTGACCCCTGCCTACTGGAATATGGAGAATCTGGGTGGAGGATGCTCAGCCCCGATCCAAGCAGGCTTGGAGATCTCAGCCCTGGGACCCACATGCCTTTGTTCCTCTGCTGGTACCTTCATGCGTGTGGAGAGTGGTCTCAGCATGGTGGTGGCTGGTTCTGGAGGTCTTCGGCTGCTGGAGCCCTGATCGGGGCGGGGAGGCAAAGTCAACCCGCTCCCCTCCAAGGGACCCCAGCAAGGACAGCCAGGCACGGGGGCAAGAGACTCTGCCTTTAAAAAATAGCATCAGAAATACCATTGGTTAGAGTAGGATCGCTGATGAAAGAGGGATCAGAATGCTAGAAGAATGCAAGACAGAAGGCTGAGGAAACTATAAAGTTAAGATTACAAATGTATGAAAATACAAAATTATGTCTTAATAAAATTTATAATAGATGCTCTTTTCAATCAGTTTTTTGTCACCACAGTGGATCTGACCATGGAATTGTCTTCACAAACACATGCACAAATTTGTGCCCGAGAGATAGGACGGTGGGCAAGGTACTTGCTTTTCTTGTGGCTGACTGGGTTTGATTCCTAGCATTGTATATGGTTCCCTGAGACCTGCCAGGAGTGATTCTTGAGTGCAGAGCCAGGAGTAAGCTGTGTGTGGCCCACTCTCCCTCCAAAATAACACAAGTTTTCACACATCATTGGAAAAAGAAGAGCAAGTGTTCCCCAAAGTGCTAGAATGTCTTTAGATTCACTTAGTAGCAAGGTATCCACTTTTGAGGGGACATGAGAGAGAGAGAGAGAGAGAGAGAGAGTTTGTGTTCTCCATGCAGTGACTGGTTGGCAACACTGTGTACATATTCACAGTAGAGTGCTGGGGGAGTGGGACTCCACTGGAAGAAAAAAACTGAATCTGCCTGTTTCACTTCACCAAATTTAAAATTTCACCTGCCATCTTGTTCTACAGGAAATGGAATGTGTAAGCATAACATGTTTTCTGACTTCTCTTACGGCTTGTAACATGCATCATTGAACCCAAGGATGGTCTTGTGGATGTCTGACAGCCCCATGAGCAAATATTTTCCCAAAGGTACAGCTTAAATGGTTCTAATCATCCTGGGATGGTTGACTTGATGTGAAGACACACTCACTTTAATTCTTCAGACAGTTATCTAAATCCAGGAGACAAATAGAATCAAGGATGGATATCACAAATAAAATTTCAAACAGAGAAGAATTGGGGCAACAAATTACAGTTCACTTTTATTTATTTTAATTTTTTAAATATATGAGTACTGCTATTTATTCAGCCACTGATTAGCTGATTGAATTGGGCCTGAACTCCACCTTACTTTTCTTTTCATCTTTTATAATTTTATTTATTGAATCACCGTGAGAGCAGTTACAAAGCCTTCGGGTCTAAGTCTTGTTCATACAATGAAACACCCATACCTTCACCAGTGCCCATTCTCCACCCCCAACAACCCCAGTATACCCCCATCCCACACCCTCCCCCTGCCTGTGGGGCAGATGATTTCCACATTACTCTCTCTCTACTTTGATCACATTCAATATTTTGACACCAGACCCACCATTTTTATTTGAGATTTTACCCCAATACTCAGATCTTCCAAAAAGGCAACAGTAGACAATCTGTTTTCTATTGCTGGTTATGAATAACATATGATGTTGCGTGGCTGTAGTAGTGGCCACATGATTTTGAAATTCCGAAATTTTAACACTTAAATCTGAAGGGATTTCTGCCAAAACATGCTGGGTTCCAAGATTTGTTCCTGAGTCTCTGGGATCATGGCCATTAAGCAGCTTGATCAGGAGCCAGAAAGGCCGTTCATGGGCGGCAATTCAGGATCTCAGGATGGGGAAGGAAAGGCCGGCTCCACCCCCATCCCATGAGGCCCTGCGTGTCTCATCACCGCAGATCCAAACCTGACTGTCCAGTGGCCTCTGGAGGATAGTGGCCACCGAGCCGCCTAGGGGGAGCAGGCAGAGGGACAACACCCTTTTCCCCCTGGGGTGGCCCGACATGGTCCAGACACATTTCTGCCAGAAGCCACTAGGTTTCAAGCTTTTTTTCTGAGTCTCTGGGATCATGGTTATTAAGTAGCTTGATCAGGAGCCAGAGAGGCCATTTGTGGGTGATGACTTGGGGTCTCGTTGGGGTGGGGAGGAAAGGACTGGCTCCACGCCCATTCCCTGAGGCCCAAAATGTCTCATCACTGTGGGCCCAAACCTGACTGTCCAATGTCCTCCGGAGGATGGCGGCCACTGAACCACCAAGGGGCAGCAGGCAGAGGGACAGCACCCTCTTTCCCCCTCGGGTGGCCTGGTAACAGTAACCTACTGTGGGGTCCGGATGCATTTCTGCCAAAAGCCACTGGGTTTCAAGATTTGTTTCTGAGTCTCTGGGATCATGACCTTTAAGCAGCTTGATCAGGAGCCACAAAGGCCATTTGTGGGTGATGACTTGGGGTCTTGTTGTGGTGGGGAGGAAAGGACTGGCTCCACCTCCATCCCATGAGGCCCTGCGTGTCTCATCACTGCAGGTCCAAACCTGACTGTCCAATGGCCTCTGGAGGATGGCGGCCACCGAGCCACCAAGGGGTAGCAGGTGGAGGGACAGCACCCTTTCTCCCCTGGGGTGGCCTGGTGACAGTAACCTACTGCGGGGTCCAGATGCATTTCTACCAAAAGCCGCTGGGTTTTGAGATTTGTTTCTGAGTCTCTGGGATCATGGCTATTAAGCAGCTTGATCAGGAGCCACAGAGGTCGTTTATGGGCGACGCCTCAGGGTCTCGTTGGGGTGGGGAGGAAAGGGCCAGCTCCATTCGCATCCCATCAGTCCCCATGTGTTTCATCACTGTGAGCCCAAACCTGACTGTCCAATGGCCTCTGGAAGATGGTGGCCACCAAACTGCAGAGGGAGAGCAGGCAGAGTGACAGCACCCTTTCCCCCCTGGGGTGGCCCGGCAACAGTCACCTACTGCGGGGTCCGAACACATTCCTGCCAAAAGAATATTCCTGGTCAACACATGATGAAGTCAGCCTAATGCACCTCATAAATGTGTGAGTAATGGCAGTTATCACTCAAAACCAATTAGTTTGGTGTATTGAGTTACTTAGCAGTAACAGATTTCTACCAAGTAGAGTGTACCACTTCAAACCCTATCTCTCAACGACGCATCAGATGTGCTCAATATGCAAAATGTGCAGAATCCAGAAAGCCTGTGCAAGGAGGCTTTCAAACAACCAAGTTGATATCCTGGAGAAAAACATGATGCCTTGGGCTTTTGTTTTTGTTCGGGGTTTGTTTGGTTTAAATGTCTATACATTTCATAGAGATGGAGAGATAGGACAGCCAGTAGGGCACTTGCCTTGAATGTGGCTGACCCAGGTTCCATCCCCAGCATTCCATATGGTTAGTTGAGTCAGCAGTTTAATACAAGGGTCTTGATACAGAGCTGCTTGCGCTCTGCAGTTCCTGGGTTACTTGGGTCACCCCATCGGTGCTGAGAGCCAGAACCACAGCTAGTGGAGCTCTGGGGACAGAACTCGGGTAGAGTTCTGGTAATTGAACATTCTACTATCATGCTCATGCCATGTTAACCTTTTAGATTTGATATAGTTTCATTTGTTTATTTTTGTTATCTTTACCAATGGAATCAAATCATTCAAATACCTCTGAGGTCTTATCCTGGAGAATGTGCCTATTTTACTCAATATATTTTATAGATTCTGGTTTAAACATGAGGTCCTTACCTCACCTTCGATTAGCTTTTGTGAATGGTGCAGGATGGATTTGACTTACTTTGTTTTGCATGTGATTGTCCAGTTTTTCCATCCAGTTTTTCCATTTGTTGAAGGAATTTTTTTCTTGCTCCACTTCATACACCCAGCTCTTTTGTCATAGATTAAGTGCCCATACATTAATTGGACTTTGAATTCTGTTTCTCAGTTTGGGGCTCTCAATGGTCTGAGATTCTTATTCCAGGACCACACATTTGTGAATACTGTAGCATTGTAGTATTAATTGAAGTCAAGAAGTATAATGCCTCCTCTTCTTTTTACTCAAAAATGCTTTGACTATTTAGGGAGTTTTAGATTTCATGAAAATCTTGGTAGCATTTCTAAGGCCTTAACGAATGTCATTGAATTTTAATTGAGATTGTATTGACTCTATAATGCTTTAAGTAGGGTTATCAGTTAGACAGTGGTAATTCTTCCACTGTATGAGCATCAAGTAATTTTCCATTTCCTAGTGCTCTCTTCTATTTTTTAGTAGTGAGTTGTAGTTTTCAATGAATAAATCTTTCATTTTTTTATTCCTAGGTGTTTGGTGGTTTTGGACACTATTTTAAATGATGTTGTCTTTTTAAATTCATTTCTCTTATAGTTCATATTTTGCATATAGAAATGTAATAGATTTTTGTGTATAGATTTTGTAGCCTACTTTACTATATTGGTTTATTATTTCTATGAGGTGGGGATTTTTTAGTAGAGTTCTTTGGGTTTTTGTGTATATTATTATGTCTGTCATGAAAATAGTGATATCTTAAAATCTTTTCCAGTTTAGATCCCTTTGATCTCTTGTCTGATTGTTGTGGTGAAAACTTCCAAAACTATAAAGTGGAGGGGGTGGACATCCTTGCCTTCTGTGTATATTCGAATCCATCAAAATGAAAACTCAAACACATACTCATATGTAATTTATAAATGATAAGGTTTTGATATTTTGTGTAGTAATAGTATCACAAACCTTAAGATAGCACTATTAAATTCAAATACTTTTTCTTTAGGAAGAGAACAGCACAGAGTCTCTTGCCCCTGCACCTGGCTGTCCTCGCTGGGGCCCCTTGAAGGGGGGCAGGTTGAGTTGACATCTTATTATCTCGGTCTTACTTTGGACAACCTGGCAGGCTACTGAATGTAATCTTCCCACACGACAGAGTCTGGCAAACTCTCCGTGGTGTACCCAATATACCAAATACCAGTAACAATGATGGGTCTCATTCTTCTAACCCTGAAAGAGCCTTGAATATGGCACTTTTTAAAATCTCAGGGCTAGGACAAAAGGAGATATTACTGGTGCCTGCTCGAGGCAATTGACGAACAACAGGATGATCATGATTGGGACTTTTTCTTTCATGGACTTGCTAAAAGCGAAAGTTGTAGGAAATTAACATGTGGGATTAGGTGTTCATTACCATAGTTCTAGGCACCTTGTGGGCAGTGTATGTGCCAGGCATTGCTCTAAGCAATCTCTTCATTTCATTCTCACTTGAGTCCAGAGAAGAGGAGAGTTGTGTCTCCCTGGAATGGGCCTATCTTACTATTCTCCCTCCAACTCAGTAATTGGTGGGACTTGCCAGGGAGGCATGGTCTTTTGCTACAGGTGAAATGATAGGTTTGGAAACACAGAAGCCAGAGACTTGGGTCAGTTATTCCCTTGAGGAAGTTCTGGGAGCAGCATTTTCATGGCCACCAACTACCTATCGCAGTAATTTTTATGTTTTTAACAATTTAAGCCATGTCTTTATATTTCAGACATATCTTTGAAGTAGGAGTGGTGGTAATTCCACTCCTAATTTGCACTTAATGATGCTGAAAGTGAATGCTTTTGGAATTTTCAAAGGAAATGCACACTGTATTCAAA